CAGGTTCGAGAGGAAGAAGGAATACCAGACCTGGAAGAAGATGGAACTGAACAAGAGGATTTTGTTGTAAAGAGAAATTTAGCAGACGAAAGAGCCAAAATTGACGTAAACCCCTCCAGAGAAGAAGTCACAGTTGAAGGTGTTGAGAAACACAAGGAGGAAGTGGAGGGAACGGCTGCTGAAACTGGAACTGTTAATGAAGTCACAGAACAAGGCAGTGAATGTTTGCAAGTATTTAAAGCTCAAACTGCTGGTCAGGAAATGGAAACTGGTAATCAAGAAGCCAAGGAAGAAACACCTGGTTTTACTGTTTATGTAAACCGAAGGCCAACAAGCATGGCTGAAGTGATCGGGGATCTTGAAGCACAATTCACAATAATCTGCAATGCGGCTAATGACGTGTCGGCATTGTTAGAGGCCAAGAAAGCTCAGTATTTATCAGCATCAAATGAACTGTCAGGTTTGATGGAAGTATACAATTTATATTTTGACCTTGTTTTAAGTATTATTCTTATTTCATGCTCCTCATTTCATAGTGTTCAGAGTTCAAGTCGAGCCTCAAGTTTCAAGAATAACTTTAATATTTGCTCATGCTCTGTTATGTTGTAGGAACAAAATGTTTAGCAATGTTTGTGAAGCATTAATAACGCTTGAATTCTGAAAATTGCAATTTTCTTTTCATTTTCCAATTCCAAAGTCAATATACCATAATATAGAAAATGTGTTTTGTTTTGCATAGAAATCATCTTTCTTGTTCCCAAGTTTTCATTTGATTTTAGTGCATCATTTTTCTTTCACTCATATTTATTTGTTAATTTTTCAAGAAAATAAATTTGAATTATTTTTCTTTTGCAGCATCAAAATTGTTGAACCCAGTAGCGCTGTTCCGCTCAGCTTCTTCACGCTCATCCTCATCAAGATTTTTAATGAATTCTTCAAACACTGAGGATGAAGATTTCGAAGGCGCAGATGATCCATCAGAGGAACATTGTTTGTTTTCTGTTAGTCATCAGTCAACATTAGACAGGTTATATGCATGGGAGAAGAAACTCTACGAGGAAGTCAGGGTATATTACTGAACCCTTCTTTTTGGTGCATTTATTAACGAACCCACCCTTGAACTATTGTTAAACCCATATGCATTATAAAATTATTTCAAAATAAATTCTCAGATGTCTTGCTTTGGTACTGATAATTGCTGCTTGAAATATAGCCTACTGAAACTTATAACCCTGCTCTCTGGTCGTCAATGAATCCTTGTAGTCAATAAAATTTTTCTTAACCCTTTACTGGCCTTTGTTCAATTCTGTCACTAAGCTGCTATGTAGAAGTGGTTTAGGGATAAAAAAATTAGCATTCATTCATAAGGTTGTCAATCCATCTATAAAAATTACACTTGTAATGGTTAGTACTAGCAGACGGGTATACATTTTTCTCTAGATGTTTAATAGGTATTTGAAAAGAAATCACACTGGAGGTTAACTTAACCCTTTAATTTAATTCAGTAATTTTTCTTTCAAACTCATTTAGTTTAATATATTAGATAATTATTGTTACAGATCGTGGTGCTTATGATTTTAATAATGAAAAAAATTAATGCTATCCCACTTTCTTCTTCAACAGTCTGGAGAACGTGTTCGAATTGCGTATGACAAGAAATGTCAGCTGCTCAGGAATCATGATGTTAATGGAGAGGAACCCTCTTCCCTTGATAAAACAAGGGCAGCCATTAGAGATCTACATACCCAGATAACAGTTTCAATACACTCAGTTGAATCTATTTCCAGGAGAATTGAAACTCTTAGGGATGAGGAGTTGCATCCTCAGCTTCTTGAATTGGTGCAAGGGTACGTATGAAAATCATTATTCCATACAACTTCATTTTGTAGATGAACTTTAACACTAAAACTTGTGGTACAATTCAGAGTATTTTCACTGAGAATATTTCATTTTGTCCTGTATACCCATTCTCTATGCTAATAATGCTAGTCTTTGTTTGGTAATAGTACAGTTTGTTAAGAGTTAAAAATTATTGACTTATAATTAATTTTACGATATTTTGTTTGTTAGAGCTATCAATTTTACATAACTTTGTCTTATACAGTGGCCCACAAGATTATATATCCATTTGATTCAAAAACTTTGATCACGCGCTTCTTGTCTGCATATTCAGTTTTGTGTATGGTTATGCTTCAACTCTAGTTTCTCATTTCTACGTGAGCAATATGACGTGTCTTTCTGCAACATATCAAATGCATGTTGTTACAAATAAAGTATCATGTATGCTGATTTAACGTACAAACTAACAGGCTTGCCAAGATGTGGAAAGTGATGGCAGAATGTCATCAGACACAGCAGAGAACCTTAGATGAAACCAAGATTCTTCTTGTTGACACTGATGCCAGAAAACACTGTGCAACATCGCTAACTGATCCGCAAAGGCTTGCTCGTTCTGCCTCCAATCTTGAAACTGAATTGAGGCATTGGCGAAACACCTTTGAGGCATGGATTAGTTCTCAAAGATCCTACATTCATTCTCTAACTGGCTGGCTTCTAAGGTGTGTGAGATGTGAGCATGATCCGTCAAAGCTAGCATGCTCTCCTCGTAGGTCCAGTGGCACTCATCCATTATTTGGACTTTGTGTTCAGTTGTCAAGGCGTCTAGATGCCCTCCAAGAAACTGCAGTACTTGATGGCATAGACTTTTTTGCAGCTGGCATAGGGTCCTTCTATGCACAACAGTCAAGAGAAGAAACTCGACGAAATCAAGTTGGATCAAAAGAACATGATGAGAATTTGGAAATGGTGGAAGGTGGTCATGTTGAAGAGGTGATGAATACGGAGAAATTGGCTGAAGTTGCTATTAAGGTGCTCTGTGCAGGTATGTCTACTGCTATGAACTCAATGGCAGAGTTTGCTGTTGATTATGCTGAGGGATACAATGAACTTGTTAAGAAATGGGAGAATGTGAACTTGCAGCAGATTTCTTGTGGAACTGAAACATAGATAGATAGATAGATATAGATGACTTACAATTTTATTTTGTTCATTTAATTAGTTTAGCAATTGGTGTCATTGAAAGTTCTTTATTTAAGGGTAGGTTTAGATGAAAGGAAAATGAAAGGGGGGGGGGAGATTTTAGGCCAATGTCTCACCATTGTTAGAGAATTTTCATAATGAGGGGAGGGAAATGAGAAATTTTCCATGTAATGCTCAAGTCCGACCCTTCTTTGTAAGTTTTTAAAACATTTTGAAGTTCTCTAATTTGGGGATCTTAAATACTCAAACAATAGAGGAGGATACTTATTACTCGTCATGGCACCGGAGCGGGACTGGATTTTGCCTTTCCGACTTCCATACCCAATTTGTTTAATTTGGATAAAAATTAAGTTATGTTTGTTGGATTTTGAGTTCTTTTTACGTTGGTATTGTTTTTAATCTATATTATTTTTAAAAAATAATCATACTTATAATAAATTATTTTTAATATTTTTTACATATAAATAAAAATTTATAATTTGTAATTATTATTAATTAAATATATATTTTAATATATTAAATTAAATTTATATTAAAATATATATGTAAAAAAATATTTAATCTTTTTTTATATGGATATAAAATATTATTATTAACATAATAATATTAATAATAATAAATATTGTATTCAAATATTTAATTACATATATTAATTTTTTTTAAGTTTTCATGAAATATATAATTTATAAAATAATATTTAATAAGTTAATTTTTATTTAATTAATTCAAAGTAATAAAAGTTTTAATTATTAACTTTTTTTAATCATTTAAAATATAATTATTTTATTAAAATAAAATTAGATAAATAAAAATAAAAATAATAAAATCTAAAAAAATATATCATAAAACTTAATAAAGATAACTTATAAATAAAATAATATTATTTATAATTAATATTTATGTAAAATATTTAGAAAAAGACAAATGAAGAAAAAATTAATTTTGTTATCATCAAATTGGTTGAAAAATTTGAAAAAATCAAATTGATTGAAAAAATTAATTGATTGAAAAGATTGAAAAAATCAAATTAATAGAAGAAATAAAAGAAATATGAATAAGTGAAAGGTAAAAAAAAGAAAATAATGTAATAAACTAATTAATATGAAAGTAAAAAAATAATAATGAAAAAGTGGGTAAAATAAAATAAAAATGACATTATATAATGAAGAAAAAAATTAATTTTTTTAAAATATTAATATTTTTAAATTTAAAATAAAATTGAAAAAAAAGATTACATTACTCTTCTGCTACTTCTGGTTTTAAAAAACAGTTTTCTAAACTAATTTCATATTATATTACAATAAAACCAATTTCGCATTAATCAATGCTCAATTTCTGATTTAAAATCTGAAAATTAATTTAGAAGCAAGTGTTATTAAAAAAAAATGAATAGAGATTGAGGATGTTTTCTATCTAGTCCATTTCTAATTGGGTCTTTATTACCACCTGTGACGAAGAAACTACCACGGGTTGAAAAGATATTATTACCTGTGATGAAGCAATTACCTTAAGGGTTAAAGATATTATTACCTGAAGCAATTAACTTGGTTTTCATTTTTCTTATTTTTTCTTTTAAATTAAAAGATTTTTTAAAGTCAAGGTCTATTTATATAATCTTAATTTGGGTCTATTTAATGTAAACTTTTACCGACAAAAGAAAAACATAATTTATTTCGCACATCTAAAGTACATTTAAAACACGACGTTCACAGTCTGGACTATGAACTGATTCTCTCAAAACCCTAATCATGACTCATTTCCTTCAACTCAACGACCAATGGCATCTTCCCTCAATCTGATTAAAACTTGTGTACAACGATGGATCTTATAACTAGAAAATTAGAACAAATGGTAATTTTTCCAATTTTGCATCGTAAGAAAGTAAGAGGCACTTGTTTTATTTAGGTTGGTGGCAGCCTTGGCTTTGTCACTCAGAGGAAGATAAATAAACGAGTGCAATTTCATTCATCGTAATCAAAACCACCATCATCTAACTCCAGTTCAGCATCATCAAAGGTAGTCACAAGTGTGAGGAACACAACAACTGCAATCAACTGTGCTACCACAAAATATTTGGCTTTCCTTTTGAAGGTTTTCTCCTCCTGTGTTTTCTCCCTCTTGGGTTTATTCTTCGGCTTTGAACCTAATTAAAAAAAATGGCCAATCAAACTTAATGAAGAGTGACAGGACATGAGAGTTTAAAATAGTAAACACACATTTTTTCACATTAAAAAAAATGTTATTACAATAATTTTTTTCCACAATCCATATATGACCACATGGCGAAATTTAAAGACACCAAGATATAGGAATTAGGACACAACTACTAAGAGCCCTTATTTTTAATTAAATTTTAGTTCTTGTAAAATGAAAGTGTTTTAATTTTAGTTCCATAAAAGAAACTTTGGATTTCATCTCTCGGAAATCTAAAATTATTGATTTTAGTCATATAAAAATGAGCAAAATTTGACTTAAAAAAAAACTTTGATCCCTCTAAAATATGAAAAAACTATTTTGGTCTTTAAAAAATTTTGAACCTGTAAATTGTCATTGAAGCACAGACTTGCTGTTAGATGGAAATATCACTTGACCTTATAAGTTGTTAATGAATTACATAATAGTATAGAAAGTAGCAAGTTACCAGGAGATTCCACCTTAAGAAAAGCTGAAAGATTAACATTATTTCATCTGTTAATTACCCCCATCCCATAACTCTCGAGTCACTGGAAACCTATGAATTTCAGAATACTCCAATCCATGTGTAGGACTTTGATAGAAAATACCCAGAAAGTAGAGATGTTTTTTGATACCAGCAATATCATACCATGCCAACGTATTTCCAGCCACCATACCTAAATAAAATTATTAGATAGAAGGATTCTTTCTAGTTATCTATCCCCCTTCCCTTCCAAAATAAAGAGGGGGAACACCACATATGCTTCTCAAGAAAATCTCATCAAACAAAGCTAAAGTGTCCATTTACAAAGTCCAGAAAATATCTTACTTGATTGACTTCTGGAAGCAGATGATGATGAACCAGAATGAAATTGTGGAACAGAGGAAGGAGATGGAGCAGCTTCTATGAATTCTGTTTTACATTGTTGCACATACCTAACTAAATTGGCATGCTCTGAAAACTTGATCCGCAGCACTGAAGATTCCTGATGGTACATCAATGAGGGGTGCAAAGTTTAAAGTTTTCTCAAAACAACTGACTTAGTCATTCTAATGAGAACGCACACTAAATGCAAAAAAATAAAATGAAATAAAATAAAATAAAAACATATATCTGTTCTTCCTTGAAAAGAAAGGCCAGGAATCTCATGGGTAGAATAATACAAAAGCAACGTAGTACAAGCTTACAAGGGTTTTGTGTCAAAGATTAGTTTCCTCATTCAGAAGTATTACCCAATATCAGATTATGTTTAAAAAATAACATGTTTCTCAATACGAAAACCAGGAACCAAATCATCAATCTCTCATTTGCTTAGTCATCTCACTAGAACAAGTCTAAGTTACAAATTTCCCCCTAGTGCACCTCATTGCAATTATTTTACTATTTCTATTCTAGGTCTATTGTGATACATGATCCAATGATCTTACACCACCAAAGAGGTAAAGATAAGTATTTTTTATCAGAAAGCCCCAAATAGACCAGGTCTAAAAAGTATGGTGAAATTCAGGTCGGCTGTTTATTTCCCAGTCTGGAACCGATTTTAGCCAAATTAAATGTTCTTTTAGAATAATATCTTTTAAAGATCAACTACAATTCCTTGAGAACAATCTTAGTCAATTGTCACTCACTCTACCAAATGCAGGTAAACATTTAATACGTTCATATACAATGTGTTCCCCAACAAAATCCCTTTTCTGTATGAATCTCTCTTTCACCTGACTATAATGTGCTACATTGCTTTAGTAGAGTGCCAAAAACATTTATTCCTAATCTGAGAATCTAACCAACTTCATGATAGTTCCCAACGTGCAAAATGTAATCTCCATAACAATATTTGTCCAATTTAATTGGCCAGCATAAACCAAGCGGCCACTAGAGTATCCATAAAAATCTCAAAACAAACCATAGAAAAACAGTTAATTAATATTAATACTTACAGGTAAAGCTTGAAGAACAACTAATCCATGTGCAAGAAAAATAGCATCTAAGCTTGATGGCCTACATAAACCAAATAAAGCATATGAATACATCACCAGGAGGTCGAAATTAATAATTGTTCCAAAATTGAAAAACAAACCAAAATCTTACCACAAATTGCTCTAACAAAAGATAAGCTCACAAGTTCGTGTACAACTCAACCAGAGGAAATTACCTGTTTTCAAGTAAGTAATTTTGTTCGCCTAAGCAACTTGACAAGGTATCATATGCAGAGTTTACTCTCTCGTATATCTGTCCATCACTAATAAGTAAACATAAATGCCAAATTAAAGAGAAAATCACGCAGAACAACAAAACTGTTACTAACGCGCACACACACACAAATGAAGGGAAAAACCCTATAACCATGATCAATATCCTTATACTTTCATGTTGATGAATTACATCCTCAACTTTGAAAGAACATATGGATTTAGTCCCTCTTACCTTTTTAAAAAATGACCTATTCTTATAGAGGAGAGGCCAGATCAACATTTTTCAATGTTTAAGGACCAAAATTCATTGATATGAAAGTATAGGGAACTTGACCATGGTCGGAAGTATAGAGATCAGAAACACGGTTTTTGCCAAACACCGAACATAGTTACATAGGGAAAGAAAAATAAACTGACCTCTCCTTTCTTTACTTCAGCATTGTCATTAGTAATCCCATGCTTCAGCTTTACCCAATGAGCTTTATTCCAAGAGAGAATCTTCCCCAATGGCCACGGAAGATCAGAGTAATAGATGCTATAAGCAGAAGAACATTCACCCCCCAACCAGAGTTCATAGGCAAGTGCATCAGCAAGCCAAGTGGTGAGAATTGCTTTGGTTGAAATCCACTCAGGGAGTGTAGAAACCCCATTGTCCAAATCGACAACCCCAACATCTTTCTTCAAGCATTCAACGATCCCCTCTTTATTGTTGTTATAAACCACACAGTCACCATACTCAAAGTAAGGAATTTGATCTAAAAAAAATGTGCATAGCCATAAGCAAACAAAGGTAAAAAATGAAACTTTTTGAGATGTGATTGTGAACCCATTAGCCTGAAATAGAAAAAAAAAAGTGTTACCAGTATGTGGGTTATTGAGGTGGAAATCCAAGTGGAAGGGAATTTGAGCGAATTTGAGATAGATGTAGGCAGAGAGACACTGAGGGCAACCAGTTGGGAGGCCAAAACATGGCTTCCGTACCACCAGAGTGTTCAATTCCGCCATGCATCAATATCAATAATTCTCCACGGGTTCAGTTTAGGGTTCATGCGATTGTTTTTGTGTCTTGTGTCTGATTTGTTGCTTTTGTTTTCTCTTCATTTAAATGGGCCTGTTTTTGGAAAAGTGGGCCTGTTTTCAAAAAATAAATTTTGAAAAATGTTTTATAAGTTATAAAAACAAAACTTGAAAATAGTGCTTTACATCAGGGTTGGAAGTTACTTTAAATTTAAAATTAAAATTAGGGATGATAAACTTTAAATATGGCTATTGTAAAAAACACATTTTAAATCAATTTTAAAATGGTGGCAATCACTTGTAAAATATTTATTATAAAAATCAATGAATTTATCTTTCATGTCAATTTGTAATTAAGATGATAATGTAATTTTTTCCAACTTTTATGTCAATTAATAATTATATGATAATGTATTTTTCACACTTTCAATAAAGTTTAAAAAGTGATTTAAATAAAATTTACAACGGATATTCATAAAAAATTTAGGGAACAGTATAAATTAAATTTTCCATGCGTATAAACTCCCATTTAATCTTTTTTTTAAGAATAATTTTTGTTAATTTCTTTAAAAACAGTTATAAGAAAAATATAAATTATATAAAAAATGAAATAATTTTTGTACACATTAAAAAATATAAAAAATTAAGAATATAATATTAAAATAGCATTCTCTTGAATTGAGAATAACAAGCGCATTGTGCCTCATGTACATGATACGTGCATGATTAGTTTGGTTTGGTCATCGTGTTTGGTTGCGTCTTTGTTTGTCCCACTCTGACGGGCAAACACAAACACGACCGCACAGTGAGAATAGCAAAACGGAGAGTGGAACTAAACTTTTCTCTCTCTATGTACATATACAAAGTACAAAAGCACTTTTAAAACCTTCGTCCCCTTCTCCACTGCACTGCATTCAACTTATTTGACCCATAACAGTACTCAATAACAATAAATATATAAATAAATTATAAACGAACAAAAACATATCAATTCAGTCTTACTCATCCTCATCCCTCTCTCTCTTTCCAATTTCCGCTTCGATAAAGAATCTAGGGTTTCCAACACACTCATTCTTCACCTCCTAAAAGGAAACTCCTAAACCAGCAACCTAAGGTTCCTTTTCTTCATCCTCCAACTACTTATTCCTTTTTCTTCTAGTCCTTTTCTCTTGCATTCGTTTTTCAGCCTTTTTCTCATATCTTGTCAATTTCACCCTTGTTTTTTCCCTTGTTCTTCGTATTATTATGAATTAGTAATTTATGAGATAATTATACTTGCTTGTTGTTGTCCTTGCTGGTGATACTTATTTTGTGATCGTTGCTAACTTTGGTCTCTCCTTGTTTGGATACTACGAAGTTAAAGAAGACGACGTTCTGCTTCAAATTAAATTTTGAACAGTAAGCTTGCTATGACCTTAAGGAACATTACAATAGCATAATTTAACTAACTGAATTTTGTATCGTGACTTGACTCTGTGAATTTGCATGAGATTTTGCATTACACGTGGACAGTTTCACGTGTAGTAGTATATCATGAGATTATTTTTTTTGTCAGTTATTCACTGTGATATTTCATCCGTGTTCTTGTTTCTTGTTTCTTGTTCCCTGCTAGCACTTTGTTCTTGTTTTCATTGGAAGTTTACGCTGATGTAACACTTTGTGCGTGCACTTTAGGAGGCAACATGACATTTCTTGTTTCCATTACGAAAGATGGGATAAAGTAATCTTCCAGAAGTATGGCAACTGAGAGTCCAATCAGGATATCTGAAGCCGGGGGGAAATGGCCGTCTCTTAAGGAAGCTGTGACATTTGGTTCACAATCTCGTCATATGGCAACAGAGGATCTGGGTATGTTTTTGAGTGGCCAGAGGTTCCACCATGGCATTGGAAAAGATGTGGTACCCAACCGAAGTGGCAGTGCACCTCCAAGCATGGAAGGCTCATTTCTTGCCATAGAAAACTTATTATCCCAGAACACCACCAGAAATGCAAGCCTGGGATCTCTGAACAGAGCTGTACAAAAATGTGAGTCTGATGACCAATTACTAGCTGATTTTGCTAATTTGACTGTTCCTATGTCAACTTAAACACTATATATCCTTACCCACTTATATTATGAGAGAATGGCCTGTCTGGTGTACCATATTGGTTTGGTAGTAGGCTATTAACAGTAATTGGTGATTGTCTACTGCAGATAATAGTGGTAAAGGATCCTTTCATTTGTCCCGAGAAACACTTGCAACACACAAGGAGGAGGCTGAGGCTGAGGATGATTCAACTCAACAGCTGTTTGATAATGAGGTAGATAAGGCTAGAGGAAAATGGCATAGACAGGATGTGGCTTCAACATCATCTCAGCACAAAATATTATTACTGGTGATTATTGTGATATCAACTTCTTTCTTTTACTATTTTTTGTATGTTTTTGAGTCCAAGATTTGACTGTAGCCAATCACTTGACCTTTTCCCTTTTTGCCTCCATATTAATTTTTTGATTATGAATGCATGATTTTTTTCTCTATTAAAATTCAAACTTTCAGGAGGATCCCCCGCATACCATGTCACCTGTATATAATAAGTCTTTTGGATTGGTGGATGAACTAATTGATGTAGATACTGGTTCAAATTCTTCTCATGACCCTCCTGTCACTACAGTGGAAGCAATAAAACCTACCATAGGTGCAGATGATGTAAGGATGCCATCATTTGTTGATTCCCCTGCCCCTGTCACAAGCTCATCATCTCTCATTTCCACTGGAAGCATGGGTAATGATTTAGATGTTACAATTGTAGAATCTCAACTAAGGGCCCTCAGTGTATCTAATCTACCAAATTCAGAAAGCCAGAGTTATGAAGATAAATGGAAGAATAGGGTACAGAATAATTTGATGCAACAAAACCAACAAAACTATCTATGTGAAGTTCCTAGCACCAATTCTCAAAGTGAAAAATGTGCATACATTGGTATGGAGCAGTCTCTTCACAATCCAAACTCCTCTGATGTCCAACCTGTACTGCAATCATCTGGGTATACTCCTCCGCTATATGCTTCAGCAGCAGCTTATATGACCTCAACAAATCCATTTTATACTAATTTTCAGGCTTCAGGTATATATTCTCCGCCATATGTAGGTGCATACCCTTTTAGTCCCCAAGCTGTTCCTCCATATATTGCCGCATATCCTCCTCATGGTTCTGTACAGCTTGTTGATGGGGCTACTGGTTCTAGTTTTACTCCCCAAGCAGCAGGGGTTTCTTCTACTGGTGGAAACATTTCACATGGAGCTGAAATGATACATGCAAACAAGTTTTTTGGACAATTTGGATTTCCTCTGCAGCCATCTTTTGGTGAGCCTATTTACATGCAATATCATCAGCAACCTTTTGTGGAGGGATACTGTGTATCTGGTCATCTGCTGACACCTAGAGCCAGTGTTGGAAGCCAAATAGGTCCTTTAGATTCCCAAACAAGGCCCAATAGTGGTTCTTACTTGGATGAAAAAAAATTATATAATCAGAGAAGTGGTGCTCATTTGAATTCTAATAGAGGTGGGCTAATGCATCCTGGTTATTTTGGACACCCTTCAAATATGGGTTTTGTAACCCAGTATCCAAGTTCCCCATTGTCTAGACCAGTCTTATCAGGCTACCCAGAGAGTAATCCTGGTGTTCCAGGTGGAAAGAATGAAATGAAATCCTCTCCAGCTTCTGGTAGAAATGTAGGTTTATCATCTGGATGGGAAGGTTATAGAGCCTTTGACAGTGCTCATGACCCAAAAATTGCTATTTTTCTTGAAGAATTAAAATCTGGAAAAAGTCGCAGATTTGAGCTGTCTGATATTATTGGACACATAGTTGAATTTAGGCAAGTAATATTTTCTGTAATCTTTTTACTTATCACTTTATCAATATCTTTGCTTTGGAAATTAAGTTTATTGTGGTTTTTAACTCCAGTACTGATCAACATGGGAGCCGTTTTATACAGCAGAAGTTGGAAAACTGTGGTGTTGAAGAGAAGGAGTTAGTGTTCAAAGAGGTTCTTCCACATACTTCTAAACTAATGACTGATGTATTTGGCAACTACGTGATCCAAAAGGTGTGTTTGAAGTAATGTACATTGTTATTAACTAACTTTATGGTTTTCTGGAATCTGTTATGCTAATTAACTGTTTCTCCTGTGCATAGTTTTTTGATTATGGAAACCCTGAGCAGAGGAAGGAACTTGCTAATCATCTTCTTGGTCAGATACTGCCTTTAAGTCTTCAGATGTATGGGTGTCGTGTGATCCAAAAGGCATGTAATTTGTATTGATTCATACAACGTTAAGACACTGGTATATGCTTATGTCAGTTGTTTGTTTGTCTTGGAAGTTATTGCAATCTGGTTACAAAATATGTTCATGGACTGCTTAACTCAGAACTTTATCTTTTCTTCTTGTACCCAAGGTTTAGTTCCAGCTAATGACAAAATGATTTGTTTGCAATTGATAAAGGTGAAACTACTTATGGTCTGTTATTTGTTTTTCACATCAAATACAAGTTACATAATTTTACGTGCTTGGAAACTCTTTTTTGAAGGACAATTTTTTTTACCACAGAAATTCTGTTTGATTAACAATTTTAATATCTGAAGGGGAAGGGGTGAAGCAATGTCAACATGAATTTATAGGGCTTTTCATGTGTAAACAATAGATAGTAAATGGAAGGAAGTAAGATTTTTTGGAGGAAAGACATCTCCCGGTTCTGCAAGTTGCAAGTTGGGGTTTGTAAAAGAGTCACATGAGTAAAAAATGCTTACCAGATATGAGCCTGTTATATGTGCTCCAGTTATAGAACATATACTCTCAATAGAAGAGGAAAACTGAATATTTATTTGATTTACTTGAGAAACTTATTTAGGGTTTCAATACAGTGTCTAAAGGCATTGTTACATTGTGTTACATTGTATTTATAGATAAAGGAGATACAACAGAGAGGATATGGGCCTCAGCCCAAACCCTTAACCCTAGTCTAAGGAACATACATAGAGAATACAAAAAGATAGAAAAACAACATGTCTCAACACTCCCCCTCAAGCTGGAGCATATAGATTGTATGCACCAAGCTTAGAACAAATGAACTGAATCCTAGGACCTCTCAAGGATTTAGTTAAAATGTCCGCCAGTTGCTCATTGGAGTTTACAAATTCCTTAGACACTAACTTTTCTCTAACAAAGTGACAATCAATCTCGATATGTTTTGTTCTTTCATAAAAGACTGGGATGGAGGCAATATGGAGACGTACCTGATAATTACAAAACAACTTCATCTGCCCATTATCACAGAATTTTAATTCTTGTAGGAGTTGTTTGATCCACACGAGTTCACATGTAGCAAGTGCCATAGATGTATACTTAGCTTCTGCACTAGATCGAGCACTAATATTTTGTTTTTTACTCTTCCAAGAAATCAAATTCCCTCCAATAAAAATACAATACCCATCATTAGTAGATTTTTTATCAATGGAACAACCAGTCCAATCTGCATCACAATAACTTAGAATTTGAGTATTTCCCTTATCTTTATATAACAATCCTTATCCAGGACTCCTTTAACATATCTAAGAATGCGAATCAAGGCATCCCAATGATCAGTACAAGGATTTTGCATAAATTGACTAACTAACTATTCCAATTGCATAATTGCATAAGAAAGATCAGGTCGGATAATAGTAAGATAAATGAGTTTACCAACCAACCTCTTGTATCTTTCTGGGTTTGACGACTTTTTTCCTTTATCTCCCATCAATTTCTGATTAGGGTTCATTGGGGTATCAATGGGTTTACAATTTGTTAAACACGTCTCCTTCAGAATATCAAGAGCATACTTCCTTTGAGAGATTATCACACCTTCCTCTGAGTCAGCCACTTCAATACCAAGGAAATACTTCAATTGACCAAGATCTTCGATTTGAAAGTGAGCAAATAGATGATTCTTCAGTTGGCTGATCTTAGTATAATCATTACCTGTAATAATAATATCAACATAAACCATAAAATACACACTCTTGCCTAAAAAGAAATGATAATAAAACACTGAGTGATATGCTTCACTTCTTTTCAAGCCAAACAACTGTACAACATGACTGAATTTCCCAAACCAAACTTGGGATGACTGCTTCAAGCCATAAAGAGACCAGTGTAGCTTGCACACTAAACCAGTTTCCCCTTGAGTAACAAAATCAGGAGGTTGCTCCATATAAATCTCTTCTTTAAGGTCACCATGAAAAAACACATTTTTAATGTCCAATTGGTGAAGGGGCCAATGACAAATAGTGGAAATCTTAGCTACTGGAGAGAAGGTATGATAGTAGTCGAGGCCATAAATTTGAGTGTAGCCTTTAGATACTAAACGAGCTTTAAGACGATCCACTTTACCATTTTTATCAACTTTAACTGTATAGACTCACCTACATCCCACAACCTTTTTGCCAGGAGGAAGAGGGACAAGCTCCCAAGTGCCATTATGCTCAAGAGTCTGTATTTTATCAATCATGGCTTGTCACCATCCATGGTGATCAAGAGCCTCATGGACAGTATTAGGAATAGTAGTGTCAATCGAAGAGACAACAAAAAAGGAATAGGAAGGAGACAAACGATGGTAACTTGAAAAGTTATAAATAGGAAATGGATTCCAAGAGGAACGAATACATTTTCTGAGTGCAATAGGCCATCTAGAAACAGAAGTGGGAGAGGAGGTTGAAGGATCCATGGTATGAGAAGCTGATGGAGAAGGTTTTGAATCACGATTATCTGCAGAATTTGGTAAAGGTGTAGGTGGGATCCTGTGGTAATATCTAAGAAGAGGAGAATCATTGAGACCTGTAGGTTGAATTGGTGAAGGATCAGGTATTATAAGTGGATCACATGAGGGTATAGGAAGAACATTTTGAATAGAGGAACTATACTCCATGGGGGAAGAAAAAAAGGGTGTTTCTTCAAAGAATGTGACATTAGTAGACATGTAATACCTTTTGGTGGATGGAGAATAACATTTGTACCCTTTTTGGAGGCGAGAGTACCCCAAGAAGACACATCTAATGTCTTTAGCACTTAACTTATCAAGACCTGGGAGACATTATGTACAAAATAGGTACAATCAAATACACGAGGAGACACATGATAAAGAGAATCATTTGGAAAGATAAGGGAATGAGAATTTTGATTTTGAAGATATTAAGATGGCATGTGATTGATCAGAAAACAAGCAGTGAGAACTGCATCTCCCTAATGATGAACATGAACATTGGCATTCAACATTAGAGAGCGTGTAGTCTCAATAAGATGCTTATTTTTTCTTTCTACAATACCATTTTGTTGTGGAGTGTAAAGACAAGTTGACTGATGTAAAATGCCTTGGGAAGATAAAAAGAAAAGAAGGAGGTTTAAAAATATTCTTTGACATTATCACTTCTGATAACTTTAATTATCTTCCCAGATTGATTTTTAATTTCATTGAAGAAAGACAGAACAATAGACCAAATTTCAGATCTGTCTTTCATTAAATAAACCCAAGTACATTTGAAAAATTCTTCAATAAAGGTTAGAAAATAGCAAAAGCCAAATGAAGAGACACGACTCGGTCCCCAAACATTATAATGAATATTTGAAAAAGGAAAATTTCATCTAGTTTCAGAGTGTTTAGGAAAGGTAGACCTAACATGTTTTCCTAATTGGCAAGATTCACACATTCTAAACCTCAAAGATGTTTGAGATTAGGAGCCATCACTTTCAACTTTGGTAAACTTGGGTGACCCAGACGATCATGCAAAAGTTTAGGAGCAGGAGAAACAAGACATGACACCAAAGGACTTGGATTTAGATAGTACAGACCACGTGGTTCATGTCCTTCTCCAATCAGATGACCCGTATCATGTTCCTGAATAACAAAAGAATTGAAATTAAAGGTTATATAACAATTCCGAGTCAATTGACTTAGAGAAATCAAATTATAAGGATAATTAGGAATGAAAAGAACAAAATTTAAATTCAAAGAAGGGGTTAAAAGAACATGGTCAATTCCTTGTGACTTTACTTTAGATCCTTTAGCTACAGTAATCAAATGAGGAATTTTAGATGGAGAAAAATGAGGAACTGTTACCAAATGTATGATTAGAGGCAACTGAATCAAGAATCTATGGGTTTTGACCTTCCACAGATTGAGAAATGCATGATGTGAAACATTAGGCATGGAATAAGATTGATCCTGGCGGTTGAATTTTCATGATTTGAATTTCAAAAACTCTTGATACTTCTCATAAGAGATTTTCATATCCGGTTTTTTAGACTTAGAAACATGGGCAGTGGTATTCCTGTCAGGAAAACCGTGTAAGGAATAACAGTTTTTTTGCGTGTGCCCCATCTTCTTGCAATAGGAACATTGAGGACGACTTTTTGTACTCCCACGTCCTTCTTGACTGTTATGTCCTCCTCTTCGATCACAAGGAGCAACCATAGCTGAAGTTTCAACTGTCTGCACCTGATTTTCATTTGTCATAAAATTGGGAACTCAAATCAGCCTTGTGACAAGATTATCCATTGACGAAACTTGATCACCAGCTAAAATTTTATCACAGACATGATCAAAATCAGAGTGTAGACTCCTCAAAATTAGGACCATGTACAACTTATCCAGTTTGGAGTTTAACTCTTCTAAGGTATTTGCCACAAGAAACCTTTTTAATTCCTCCACAGCAGCCCTAGTTTTTGCAATGTGAGCCATCATGTCATAATTTGCCTATTTGAGAGATGTCATTCTTTGAGTTACATCAAATAGACGTTGAATATCGTTAGCAAAAATATCTTGAGCCTTTTTTCAAAAGGAAAAGCAGGTTTTGAATGACCTGAGAAGCTCAAGAACCTCAAGTTCCATAGACTACATAAGATTGTACAAAGCTAGAAGTCTATTTCCCACTGAGATCTCTCTGAGGCAAAAACAAAGTTCATATCTTTCTCCAAATGGTCATGATACCCCTAACCTAGAAACCATAGTTCAATTGATGCAAACCAGGATAAATAATTTTTCCAATTGAGTTTAACACTGGTTATGGTGGGAGTAGCAAAAAAAGAAAAAGCACTAGATAAAGTCATTTATCTGAAACAGAGATGAAAGATAAACCTAACCAATAGGGTACCCACGTGACCTAGTTTCCAAAGTTCTTAAAACAAAAAAATAAGGGCACCACTAGACTCACAGGGTGCCAACAAGTCGACCGGTGGTAATCGGACTTGATTCTGGCTACTAGAGGGCGGCGCATGGGACATACGCGCCTGGGAGCTCTGCCTGAAGCTGGGCGTGATGGTGCGTGGGGGCCGCAAATGGAGGAGCAATTGGTACGGGTGGGTTGCACTCTTCGAGGTGCACCAAACCCTACCTTCACCAGACCAAATTGAGACGGTGGCCGACGGCAAACGACGACCCACGGTGGCCAAAGATGACAGGGATGATAAAAAATCAGTGCAAGATCGTACCCGTTCTGATACCAACTTGAGAAATTTATTTAGGGTTTCAATACAGTATCTAAAGGCACTGTTACATTGTATTTTTAGATAAAGAAAATACAACAGAGAGGATATGGGCCTCAACCCAAACCCTTAACCCTAGTCTAAGGAACATACACAAAGAATACAAAAGAATAGAAAAACAACATGTTTCAACAGATTTTTTATTTTTAAATACAAGCCCTCCCCATCCCCTAACTTAAAAGGGTTTTGGTTCGATATAGTAAAAGGTTTAGCAGGGGATCAAAACTGAATTCCATTAATAACAGATAAACTTCTTGCACTAGTAAGAAAAGGTGGAAAGGGATAGTTTGTCAAGAATCGGTTGAGAGTTTTGAGAATAAATTGTTAGGTAGAGAACTGGGTCACTCAAGTTTAAATACCTGGGAGTTAGAGAGGAGACTTTCCACTGTATCATTGTAAATCTCTAGTTTTCTATCACACTAATACTGATTGGAGTGGTTTGTGCAGTGGAACAATTGAATGTTTACTGATTGTTTTCGCATAACTTTGTTGTTTCTTTGTTTCCTTCTAAAGTTTTATTTGTTTGTTAGGGAAGAAAGTTGAAAATACGAAAAATTTATGAATTCAAATAAAGCCTTGAATGGAGAACATACTCCAATAGGGATGTGGGCCAATTGGTCAACTGTGTTAATGGGCCTAGGATTTTGCAGATTTACACTAGAAGAAAGAACAGATCACATGGAGAAGAAAGTGGGGAGAAGCATAAGTTATGGGAATTGGGGGGAGGGGTCTGATACAGCGAAAGAGACTGGAGGGGAAGGGGGAGAGTGGAGGAAGCCAGGTGTAGAATTTGACCATTGTGGCTTAGGCTCCTTAGTTCTTGGAGTTAAGAGATTTCTGTTTCTTTTCATTCATTTTCCCTGAATGTGTGTTTCTTTTCTGAAAGCCAAACTGGGTAACTGTCTTTAGTAGAAGAACAAAATGATAAATACAAGTATTCCAATTTATTCTGTAGGTTTGGGTTTTAATTGTCATTTCATATTTATCTCAATTTTGTGCCTGTGCAGGCACTTGAGGTTATCAATCTTGAGCAGAAAGTTCAGCTGGTTCATGAGCTAGATGGAAATGTCATGCGATGTGTCCGTGACCAAAACGGGAATCATGTAATACAGAAATGCATTGAATCTATTCCGACTAAGAACATTGATTTTATAATATCTGCCTTTCGTGGTCAAGTCTCTATTCTATCTATGCATCCTTATGGTTGCCGAGTCATTCAGGTAAGGTTATTGCATTTACCTCACCCATAAAGGAATTGATGTTTCTTTGATTGTGCATTTAGCCCATGATAATGTTTCTTGTAGAGAGTTCTAGAGCATTGTTCAGACGAGGTTCAATGTCAGTTCATTGTGGATGAAATATTGGAGTCAGTTTTTACTCTTGCTCAGGACCAGTATGGTAATTATGTTGCTCAGGTTAGTTACTATTTGTCTGTCGCAGTTAACTGTAATATTGATTTTTCGCAGTGGGTGGTGGTTATTATGCATACTAGAAACTGAATAAAATTGGAGGTATAGATATGCCCTTTCTATCATTTATACAATTATAAATAGCAATATGTTATTTCTATGTGAATTATTTTTCTGTTGATGTCTTATATTTTTTTAATTTCTAATTCATCCTATCTTGTATTTCACCTCAATTAAGCAGTTATCCTATTGCAAAGAAATTCCATATAATTTATAAAGCTTTTTGTGGTTTGGTGGTTGTTTTGGATGAGGGAAGGTAGATGGTATTGCTTTGACATATTCTCCATTGACTATCAAGAAAGCCATAAAACACCTGTTATTTGGGCTATGTCAATTTACCTAATTCTATTCAGCCCATGTAAATGAGAAGCTGACATGAACAGGTTTAGATATTTCCATTAAATAAAAATTAGATTCTAAATGACCAAAACTCAAATCGTATTATATAGCTATCATGTGGCTTATGGTCCTTAGGTACACAAGGATGATGTTATTAAAAGGTTTGAAAATAAATTGTGCTAGTGGAATGCAAATTGTAGGATGGCATTTGTTTTGTTATTCCAGATTATTGTCTTTCTCAATATTATTACAAAGTAGACATATACTTGCACAAGTGGTAGCTAGTGGTATATTTTAACTAGGTGGTTCAAGATTCAAATCCTGGTGATACCACTGTAAGTATGAAATAAGATGGTTCTGCAATTTTGTATCTAAAAAAAAAAATACTAACACATGTTTATGGTAATACGTTTTGGGGCCACTCTGACTCCCAGTAATAATGGGTAAGTGCAAATATTATAGTGTCATTTTCGAAAATTTACTCGCAAATAATTTTATATTGTTCAAACTGCAGAGGACATTATATTTGCAAAGTATATTTGCAAAGAAAGAAATTGATTATTTTTATGTGCGCCATGATGATATCGATTGACAGTGATTGTCTATTTGAACACAATACGTTGTATGTGAGACAGGGAAGTACTGATGACTAGAGTTAGTAAAAATGGGCAAAGGATTTTCTGGAGGTTTGGGGGCGGGGGTGATCGACCCGAATCATTCCCAAACATGATTTACAGATAACTTTTGGGGTTTACTTACCTATTTGACATTTTGCACATGGGATATTTTTATGGCTTGTGGACCTTTTATGTCTAAATTTTATTTTATTTTTTCGTTTTCTTAGTTACGATGCTTTGTTTATGTCTTTATAGCATGTGTTGGAGAGAGGAAAGTCTCAGGAAAGGAGCCAAATTATTAGCAAGCTGTCAGGACATATTGTCCAATTAAGCCAGCATAAATTTGCATCAAATGTTGTTGAGAAATGCTTGGAGTTTGGTGATTTCACTGAGCGACAGCTTTTAATTGCAGAGATTGTTGGACATGACAAACAACATGATAATTTGTTGGTAAGTATTAAATTTTCAAGACTACTGATCACATTTACTAGTTAAAAAATGTGCATATATTCTATAGCAGATTATATCCCTGAAACTGGCATGCACATGTTACTTTTTTCATTTAGCTTGTTAAAGATTTTTAAAAATAACATTCTAAAAAGACAACAGTCACCTGCAGAATCAATTAAATGAGTGTAATGGCTTAAAATTAGTTTGGAATGTGGTGCTGGGGGCGTGTTAACTGATGCCTATGGCAGGTTATAACTTATCAGGAATTGAAATAAACAAATTCAAAGAAACAGACAAGTAAAAGAGACATTATTCAATGGTTTAACTGAATCTTACACGAGGTTTCAATAATTTTTCTTTGGAGAACATTATGTTATCAATTTTCAGAAACAAAATAACATGTATTTAACATTATGTTGTTGATCTATAACCTGCCCCTCGTAGCTCACACCAAACTTTTTGTAGGCTGCCACTGTCTTACTATTTATTGTTCAAAAAATACCTTAAATGGATAGTGTTTAGCTCATACGTAATCAGTGTGATCCCCCCACCCCCCCTAAAAAAAAAAAAACACATCTGCTACTCTGCTCAAAATGTCTGTCTCGTTGTAAGAGTTACGGTAAAAAGAGGGACTTACATTCCCACCACCAGTTTATTACATGTTGTACGTAGAACTGATAGAATAACCATGCCAGGAAGCTTTTATGGCTGTTGTATTTGCTGTTTTATTTCACTGATCTAGAATCTTTCAAGTTGCATGTTGCTTGAGGCACTAAAAATACATTAAGATCCTTTTTCTTTACTAATTATGAGCTGGAATTATTGATCCTTCGATATCTGATGATCTTATACTGTATTCAGTGTTTTTGAGATCTTCCAAATTATTACGATGGTAGAAAGTTCTTGAGAATTACATGTGATGTGCATTATGCCATAATTAACAGGATCATAACTGATATGACCGTTGCATTTCGGGTTTTGTACTCTTGCTTACTATTCCATGTTTGATTAATTGTAGACAATGATGAAAGACCAATTTGCAAATTATGTGATCCAGAAGGTTCTTGAGATCTGTTCTGAAAATCAAAGAGCAATGTTACTTTCTCGCATAAGACTTCATGCTCATGCTTTGAAGAAATACACTTATGGAAAACACATTGTGGCTCGGTTTGAACAGCTACTTGGGGAAGGTGTGTACACCTAGTGCTTTAGTTTAGTTTGGTTGACAATACAATGGTCGTGGTTAGTTTACACAAAACATGAATGCATTCTTCACGTAATATATAATGAGGTAGGTAGTGCCGGAGAAAACATGTTGAGCTTTGCCAATGGCATTGACTCATTTTTGGAACATTGAAGAACTAAGTAAAGAGAGTTAAAAGAGGATTTATAATTTAGTGGGATGCATCACTCCACTCTATGATCTCATATATATAGGATTACATCATTTAAAACACCAACTACTAACCACTAACTAATAATAATTTTAACACTCCCCCTCAAGTTAGAGCATACAAATTGCATGTGCTAAGCTTGGAACAAATAAATTCAATTTGAGGTCCTCTTAAAGACTTTGTCAATACATCTGCAAGTTGATCATTGGACCCGACAAATTTAGTGTAAATTTTTTTTCACAACAATTTTTCACGAATAAAATGACAATCAAGTTCTATATGTTTGGTCCATTCATGGAACACCGGATTAGAGGCATTGTGGAGAGTTGCTTGATTGTCACAATACATCTTCATTTGTTGGATCTCACAAGATTTCAATTCTTGAAGGAATTGTTTCACTAGTTCACAAGTGAGAGACATTATTGCTCTATATTCAGCTTCAACACTAGACCGGGCTACTACATTTTGTTTCTTGCTTTTCCTTGCCTCCAATGAGAACACAATATCCTGTAGTGGAGCATCTGTCCATAGGGATCCAGCCCAATCAGCATCACAATACCAGATATTTGGGTACCCCCTTTATCTTCATACAACAAACCTTGTCCTGGAGCCTTTTTGAGATATTTTAGGATGTGAACGACAACATTCCAATGATCAGTATGCGGATTTTGCATAAATTGATTGACAACTCCAACAGCAAAAGATAGGTTAGGTCTGGTAATGGTGAGATAAATGAGTTTCCCAACAAGTCTTCTATATCTCTCAGGATCAGAGAGCGGTTCACCCTGATCTGCCATTAATTTCTTATTTGGATCCATAGGAGTGTTTACTGGTCTACAACCAATCATGCTTGTTTCTTTCAGGATATCTAAAGCATACTTTCTTTGGGAGACTACGATGCCTTATTTTGATTGAGTCATTTTCAATCCCTAAAAAGTATTTGAGACAACCAAGATCCTTAGTTTGGAAGTGATTGCATAAATGTTTCTTTAGTAGAGAAATTTTATCAACATCATCCCCTGTAATGACTATATCATCCACATATACAATTAAATGAACACATTTTCCTGAAGTAGTATAATAAAAAACAGAATGATCTGCTTCACTTCGTTTTAGTCCAAAACTTTGAACAATGTGATTAAAACTTTCCAAACCAAGCACGTGAAGATTGTTTGAAACCATAGAGAGAACAATGTAACCAACAAACCAAACTAGACTCCCCCTGAGCAACAAAACCAGGAGGTTGCTCCATGTAAATTTCCGCCTCAAGATCACCATGCAAGAAAGCATTCTTGATATCTAACTGATAAAGAGAGGTCAATGACAAATAGCTCCCATAGCAAAGAAAAGTCGAACAGTAGCCATTGTCGCCACAGGAGAAAAAGTATTATTGTAGTCAAGGTCATAGATCTGAGTGTAGCCTTTTGCTACTAATCTAGCTTTGAGTCAATCAACTTTACCTTTTGGTCCAACTTTAATGGCATAGACCCACGACAACCAACAATCTTCTTCCCAGGTGGAAGAGGAACTAAGTTCCATGTACCATTGTGCTTAAGAGCCTGTATTTCATCAATCATGGTTTGTTGCCATCCAGATGATCAAGTGTCTCTTTCACATTAATAGTAATAGTGGATACAGAAGAAACAAAAGAAAAATAGGAAAGAGACAATTTGTGGTAGCTAAAAAAATTGTAAATGGGATGTGGATTACGAGTAGAGTGAGTACCTTTGCGAATGACAATGAGCCAACTTGAGTCATCATTATCAGGAATCGTGGTATCAGGGGATGATTGAGAAGGATCTGCTGAGGAAGACTTATCTTGGGGCATGGGACTGATCATTTGGTTCCTGTGTTGATAGGTAATAAGAGGCAGTGATGAGGATTTCAGTGTATTTTGTGTGGAATTTTGGGTGTCAGAAGGAGGAGGTACAAATGGCTCCACTAAGAGTATAGGTAGGACATTTTGGACCGAACTAATATCCTGCATAGAAGAAGGGAAGAAGGGAGTTGATTAAAAAAAAAGTGACATTAGCAGACATGTAGTACTTCTTGGTTTCAGGAGAATAACAAAACATACGCAACCAAATACACTAGGAGAAACATGAAAGAGTGGTTCCTTTGACAATAGAATAGAGTGTGGAACTTTATTGTCAAGAGAAGAAGATGACATTTTGTTAATGAGAAAACATGCAGTAAGAATAGCATCTCCCCAATGATGAATAGGCATATTTGCACCAAGTAATAAGATACGAGCAGTTCCAACCAAATGTCTATTTTTTTTCGTTCTGCTATATCATTTTGTTGTGGTGTGTGAGGACAAGTATACTGATGTAAAATGCCTTAAGAACTTAAGAGAGTGGAGAAATAAGTAGAAAAATATTCTTTGGTATTATCACTTCGTAAAAATTTGATTACTTTTCCAAATTGATTTTTGATTTCGTTAAGGAAAGACTTAAAGATATGTAATAATTCAGAACGATCTTTCATTAGATAAATCCAAGTACACCTAGAAAACTCATCAATGAAGATAACAAAATATCTATAGCTAAAGAATGAGACACGACTAGGACCCCAAATATCAGAATAAACAAGAGAAAAGACAGAGTCACATCTAGATTCAAAACGTTTAGGAAAAGAGGACCTAGTATGTTTTCCTAGTTGACATGATTCACATTCAAAATCTTGAAGAGTCTGAAGTTTAGGAATCATTTTTTTTAATCTTGACAAGTGAGGGTGCCCTAAATGTTCGTGTAATAGTTTTGGAGACAAGGATGCAACACAGGATATAGATGATTTAGTCCCAAGGTAGTATAAGTCTCCATATTCATGTCCTTCGTCAATCTGTCGACCCGTACAACGTTTCTGTATAACAAAAGAGTTGACATTAAAGGTTAACAATTCAATAATTTGGTTAATTGACTTAGGGAAATGAGACTAAAGGGACATGAAGGAACAAAAAGAACATATTTTAAGTTTAAAGACGGAGAAATGGAGACTTGACCAGTTCCTTTAGAGGCTACTTTAGATTCGTTGGCTAAGGTTATGAGATGAAGAGTTTTAAGAAATGAGAGAGAAGAGAACAAAGAGCAGAAGCACCTGAGTCAATAATCCATGGATTTTGACTTTTCACAGATTGTGAAATGCAAGCTGTTGATGAATTTGGGGTTGTTGATGACTGTGCTAGACTACTGGATTTCAACCTCAAATATTCCTGATATTCTTCGTGAGAGAACTTGGGTTCAACCATTTCAGATTTGGAAAAATTGACAGTTTTGTCAGGAAAACCATGCAAAGAATAACAATTTTTCAGGGTATGACCCATTCTCTTGCAATGAGTGCACTGAGGACGTCCTCTACCTCTACGTCCTCCTCTAGTGCTGCGACTTCCTCTTCCACGAGTAGAAATTATAGCAGAAGATTCAACAAGTTCTTAATTATTTTTTCCTTTGAGAATTGGAACACGAAACAGTCTTATAGTAAAACTTTTTATAGAAGGAACTTCTTGTTCAGTTAAAATTTGATCTCTAACATGATCAAATTCTGAATTCATAGCCCGGAGAGTCATAACCATATAGAATTTATCCAACTTTTGTTTTATCTCCTCTAATGAATCCACCTCCAGGAACATCTTTATTTCTTTAACTGCTGATTGAGCTTCAGCAATAAAGGTCATCATATCTTTATCCACTTGCTTGAGAGAGGCTAATCGATTAGCAGAATCATAAAGGCGTTGGATATTATTTGCAAAAATATTCTGAGCCTTTTTCCAGAAAGAGTTACATGTTTTGAAGGATATGAAAGTGTTCAAAATATTTAGTTCTACTGATTGCCACAATAGAGCACATAGTTGATAATCAAGTTTTTTCCATTATTGAGCCTGATATTCTGGTATCTTATGTTTTCTTCTAGATGATCGTGAAACCCTTGTCCAAGGAACCAAAGTTTCACTGAAGAGGATCAAGACATGTAATTTTTTTCATTTAATTTCTCTGTCGTTATAGTAGGAGTTCTGGAAAAGGAGGTTGTGGGTCTTGACGACATATTTTAAATAATGTAGATGTAAGATGGAGACAATGAAACCTGTAAGAAGGAGAACACTCAAGATAGAATTAGATAGAGAGGGAAGTATTAATTATCTCTTTGCAAGAAAACTGACGAATGGTAGCAACGGACAGCTGTAGCGGAACGGAGGCTGGAAGGTCACTGGAAGGTGGTCAAAAAATCGTCGGACGGCAGCAAAAAAGTGACTAGATGGGGGGGGGGGGGGTTGACGGTTGCCGGAAAGTGGTCGGGAAGTGATCGGACTGTAGCCAAATGGTGGCCGAATAGTGGCTGAACGGTGGTCGAACGGTGGCTGGAAAGGCAGAGCAAGACCAACCTGCTTTGATACTAAGTTAAGAGAGTTAAAAGAGGATTTATAATTTAGTGGGATACATCACTCTACTTTATCTACTTTATGATCTCATATATATATATATATATATATATATATATATATATATATGTATTACAATATTTAAAACAACAACCACCAACTACTACCACTAACGATCATTCTAACAAACTAAATAGTGTGATAAAAAAATAATGTTTAATCTTTCTGGTTAGGGGTAATGTATAATCCACTATAAGCATTGGTGAACTTTTGGATTTAACTCATTTTATAAGTGACTGGTGAAAATATAGGATTTGTCGTGCCTTTCTTACGAAAAACGAAAATATCAAAATGTTGTGAAAGTAAATAAAATTGTACAAAAAAATGTGTACACGAAACAGTTTCGAAATTTGTATCCTCTTTATATAATATTGT